GGAACCTTGAATCTCTGGACAGGCTTTTGGCTAAGATATAGATAGACTCTTGGTAATAATAATAATAATAATAATAATAATAATAATAATAATAATACTTTATTTAATACCCCGCCACCATCTCCCCAATGGGGACTTGGGGCGGTTTATAGGAGGCTAAGCCCAACAGCATATTACTATAAAGTAATATGGACTTTGAAGTCGAACATGACCCCCCCCCCCCCCCATTAGAGATAGTAACTTATAGTTTTGCTAAGGGCAAGGACACCAGGCTGGATAATAAGGGTTAAGCCTTGGTCAATTTGGTGTGTATCATTTAATCAAGGCTTTATGCCCTATTTTCATATGTTTCTAGCAGAAGGTAACCAATTTATTACTGAAAATCATGCCACAAAAGTATTTTACTTTTTCCATCTGAGACACACCTGGGCTCCTGATGGTCCCCCATCTCACAAACAAGGGACTCTCTTTCCCCCTCATGGATATATTTCCCTTTATGGACCTTCCTATGAATAATATGAACTATGGACACTGGGGGAGGGTAGTTGGGTTTACTCTCTGTATTATGATTTCTATATTTTCATATTTTCTCCTGTATTCCCTTCATGAATCTGACCTTGCCCTGACCCTTTTGCCCCCTTCCTCTCTCCTTGAGGAAAATGATAAGGAAGTTGCCCTGCCTCTGAAAAAAAACAATTAGCGATTGTGAAGACCCTTATCTTAAAACTTTACTTGCATGGAAAATAACAAAGAAATGTCTTTCTTGACTTCGGAGTCGGGCCATCAAGAGGATATTCACTTGGCAGACTTTTTAATCATATAACAATGGGGGAAAGATGACCTTTGGAAAGCCCTTTTTCCTCCAAACCCGTTTTTCTTTCAAGCCTGTCCACTGAAAACAATCATTAAAGTCTCCCCCTTTGTGCCCTATCTGATCGCAAGAGGAAAACTCGGATTAAGTGATCAATGCTTATCTCAGACCAATCTCAAGACAATAAGATTGGCTTTTCTGGCAGGCCGATTCCGGACTCGTTAAGCCTCCTGGACATTAAACTCCATAATCCATTCAAGAATGCATTGTATTCCTTCGTTCCGCCCCCCTCTCTTCTGATTCGCTGGAGCGCAGAGGTGGCAGGAGCCTCCTGATTGGCTCTGGTGCACCGCGGAAGCCCTGTGATTGGCCCTGATGCATGGGGGATGGCCAAGCCTCCTCCCAGCTGTTTGTGCATCAGCCAATCCCCTTCAAGCTGGGCAAGAGGGGGGTGGGAGCGGGAGATTTGAACCACACAACTCTGTATTTTCTATAAAAATGGCATTTATTTGTGTAACTTCATGCTTAGCTTGGTGAATGATTGCCGCTTTGCATCCTTTTCAGTTGAATCGCTAATAAACCTTGGTGGCACTTTCTTCAACTTTGGTGAGATTCTTTTTGGGAACTTAGGGAAAATAAATTGCTTAAAATTAGGCTTCTCTTTGCTCACCAATGTAGCGATCCCTCTTTGGTGGGGCCGCAGGTCTCTCCTCCTGGGGTTGACCCTTCTAAAGTTCCTATTGACTTCAACTTTACTCATTGAATTCTTGGCATTTGACTACTGGACTGGACCCTTTGACTACAGTGTAGTGTTTGCTTTCAGTTTTTGTTTTATATTCTGTGGCTGAGTGCTATCTTTATGTTTTACATTTGGACTACGAAAGCAGCAGAAATAAGTGCTGCTTTAATTAAATGGTTTGACACAAGCTGGGTGTTTGTTTTGGTTCATTTCTGCCTGCGTACTGGCAGAGCCCTGGCGACGTGATACACACTCATAAACACACATCTATACCTCTATCTTGATCAAGCTGCAAGAAAATGTTTCAAAGTTTGTTATCCCACCTTGGACATTCCACAGATATGTAAACCTCACTTGTCTAGTTTCTGACAGACCTCACAACCTCTGAGGATGGCTGTCACAAATATGGGTGAGCAAATTGGTCAGCAAGTTCAGCAGACTAGCAGTTTAACCCGCTGTGCCATCGGGAGCTCCAGAACAAGAATAGCCAATGGCATAGAATGCAAGGAATTGGCAACCCTGGAAAATCTACGGGGCAGCATGACTCTCAAAACTGAAATGGATCATTGTTTGCTTTATTTTTTAGATTGGTCAGATATTAATTACTGTTGCTTGTCTCTCTGAGCTTCAATTTCCAGCATTTAGTCTCATAAGGCCACAGTCACTTCCATCGTGGAACCCCCAGTGGCGCAATGGGTTAAACCCTTGTGCCAGCAGGACTAATGACTGACAAGTCAGAGGTTCGAATCTGGGGAGAGCGCGGATGAGCTCCCTCTGTCAGCTCTAGCTCCCCATGGGGGGACATGAGAGAAGCCTCCCACAGGATCGTAAAACATCAAATCATCCGGTTGTCCCCTGGGCAACATCCTTGCAGATGGTCAATTCTCTCACACCAGAAGCGACTTGCAGTTTCTCAAGTTGCTCCTGATACGAAAAAACCCTCCATCATGCAACAACCATAGAGAGATAGAGTAGCAGCCATAACCATAGCATGTCTATTTAGTGTTACATCAAATCAAAGTAGTGCAAACTATAGTTTGCATAAAGATTATACTATCAACTTATTTATTTCAGATTGTCTCAAAGGTGAAGTAAGATTTATTGGCATGCTGATCCAGTCTTTGGCTTCGGCTTCAGTTTAATGTTTTTTGGTTTACATTTCCTGGATTATAACAAGCTGTGGTTTGCTAATTCAGACATCACCCAAAACCAGTTGAGCTTCCTTAACCATGAGTTGGTTTAAATTGAGCTGTAGTGGCCAGTTTTTACCCAAAAGATTGCAACTTAATTATTTTTAAAAAGAAATATATTGCACACAGGAAGCTGATCCGTGTTAATTAGATTAATTTATTCGGAAACCAAAAAGTACAAAAATTTCCATTGGCACAAAGTGCAGAATGGCTGGCATGGAGGTAAAATTGACCTCTACTTTGGTATTATGTTGACTTGGTATGGTAGGAGGTCCATGGGGTGACATCATGAAAAAACAAAGACATAGTTAATTGTACCTATCTTACCCTTTTATGTCTTCTCTCTACATGTGGCTGTAGATATGGGTCACACTTTTACACATACCCAAAATACAGATAAATGAAATAGATCACTTGAACTTTTAACCGTTAAGCATGAAAATGAATACTCTAATAGAGAAGACTTAACAAAACTAATAGCGAAGCCATTGAAATCCACAAGCATGCGGGCAATTTCAATAGAAAGGAGGAAAACAATAAAAAATGAACAAAATCTGGCTACCAGAATTTAAAAATAAAACTCTAAAAGCAGGAAAGGAAATAAAGTAGGGGAATTCAAGACAAGAATCAATCAGGGCCAGCTAACACCTCCCAACAAAGGATTCCCCCAGGCAGCAGCTGGCCAGGCTTTGATGCTGCAAGGCCATTCAATGATAATCAAGGTGGCCGATTGCAACATTCACACATTCCACAGATATATAAATCTCACTCACTTAGTTTCCAACAGACCCCTCAGCCTCTGAGGATGCCTGCCATAGATGTGGGCAAAACGTCAAGAGAGAATGCTTCTGGAACATGGCCATACAGCCTGGAAAACGAACAGCAACCCAATGATTCTGGCCATGAAAGCCTTCGACAACACACAAACAATCTTTATTATAGGTTATTGAAACAAGCCAACTTCAGGCCATTGTTTACAAAGATGGCTTGTTTACAAAAATGGCTATATAAATAAAAATGTAATGTTCGTTTGTGGGATTAACATAACTCGAAAACCACTGGACGAATTGACACCAAATTTGGACACAATACACCTATCAAGCCAACAAGTGACCATCACTCATACAAAAACTGAAAAACACATCAACAGACTTAAAAAGCCAAAAAAAAAAACCGCAACAAAAAATACATTACAACGCATGCACAAAACCACATATGTACACATATACACAAATACACACACACATATAAACACAAAACACATATACACAGACTGGGCCACAGCAACACGTGGCAGGGGATGGCATATACATATACATACATATATATATACACATACACATATGTATATATATAGCTTTGGTTAGCATAGGGATCCCTTTTCCCCAAGATTACTCTTTCAGCCATGAATTGCCCTTTCTAGGGATAGATTTCCTCTCACTTCATGTTGTCTTACCCCTGTTCTTAACTATGAGTCATTTACAAGTCAGAAGTGTGTAACTCTGGGACTGCCTATATAACAAGACTGGACAACTTGTGGCTTTCTTGTCATCCTGTTTACAGCTGTTTTAAAATGTACCAGGTTCCTTCTTCTCCTTCCACCCTCTTTTCAACTACTATTAAGTAAATTGCACTCAGTTAGCTCAGTGGAAGAAGAGGAAGAGTGTGTGTCAAATCTTGCCCTTCCCAGTAGGCTCAGGCAAAAGCAAACTTCTGCAACCACTCCTAGCTTTTGTGTTTTTCCTTATTAATAACTTTTTCCATCTTGACCAAACTTTGATGTTGCTCAGCCACATATGTCCCAGCTTTCATCTGTGTAAACATAGAATCATAGAGTTGGAAGAGACCTCATGGGCCATCCAGTCCAATACCCTGCCAAGAAGCAGGAAAATTGCATTCAAAGCACCCCTGACAGATGGCCATCCAGCCTCTGTTTAAAAGCCTCCAAAGAAGGAGCCTCCACCACACTCCAGGGCAGAGAGTTCCACTGCTGAACAGCTCTCCCAGTCAGGAAGTTATTTCTAATGTTCAGATGGAATCTCCTTTCTTGTAGTTTGAAGCCACTGTTCCGCGTCTTAGTCTCCAGGACAGCAGAAAACAAGCTAATGTTGAGAAGCAAATTCTAAATTTGTATCTAAATTGGCACGTACAGATTTTATGTATATTTCATGAAAATCTCAACCCACATTTTTGACCATGAATGAGTGGCCAACTTCACCAAATCCCGGTCTAAGACCTGCTCCATTTCCCAATACTCAACTGTTTTAAAGTCGTTCTCAAAGACTTCTCGGGCTTCCTCATAGTTGCAAATTTCCTCGATGCACTCACGCTCCAGATTGTCTGGGACGATCAGCTCAAAATCCCAGTGGTTATAAAGAAGCTTACGGCCCAGGAATCTGTGTGCAGTTATGTCGTCCAGGAACACTGAGAAGAGAAAACAACAAGGCATTTTTCTTATGTTCAAAGCACAGCTTGGGAAAAGTTACTTTTTTAACAATAGCTTCCAGAGTCCTCAGGCCAGTAATTTTACTAGTCTTGGATTTAGCATATCTGAATCTAGGTACGGCAACCCAGTCTCTGGGGCTAATGTGTCTGAGAGAGATTGCCCACCTGGTTTTAGTGGATTGGCTTGTGTGTTGCTGCTACTGTGTGCCTTCAAGTCATTTCTGATTCATAGTAACCCTAAGGCAAACCTATCACAGGGTTTTACTGACAAGTCCCTGGTGGTGCAATGGGTTAAACCCTTGTGCCGGCAGGGCTGAAGACCCAACAGGTCAGGGGTTCGAATCCAGGGAGAGTACGGATGAGCTCCCTCTATCAGCTCCAGCGTCCTATGCGGGGACATGAGAGAAGCCTCCCACAAAGACGGTAAAACATCAAAACACCTGGGCGTCCCCTTGGCAACATCCTTGCAGACAGCCAATTCTCTCACACCAGAAGCGACTTGCAGTTTCTCAAATCGCTCCTGACACGAAAAAAAATCTTGACAAGATTTGTCCAGCGAGGTTTGTTTCTGACTTCCTCTGAGGCTGAGAGAATGTGACTTGTCCAGAACCACCAGGCAAATTTCCATAGCTGAGGAAGGATTTGAATTCAAACCACTACACGACACTGGCTCTAAAGCTAATATTACTGGGAGCTTCAGATAGGGATGTGAGCTAATATCTAAGCCGTTAAGATTCCAGTGCCTTCTGTTCTTGCCTGTTATCAGATCTTTCCAGTTCATTTGATTCCAAACACCATCAATGTGCCTTTGTTCCTGGTTTATTGCCCACTGGAACATGCATGCGCTTCCAGGTTGAGCTTTTATGTTTCTCTTTTTTCTTGGGGCAACTTCTTTCCTCCTTGTGGAAAGGCAACACTTCCTGGCCATATATCGTACTCGCTGCCACATGTGGAATGTAGTTCTGCAAGTATTAGAAGCTATTATCTGTGACATACACGTTTAGCTGTGAGAGAGGTTGCTTGTGTAGAGAGAGAGTGTTGTTTGTGCATGCTGGAACTCTTGGTTTCAGTTGACCTTTTCTGTAAAAGTAAAAGATAAAGGTTTCCCTCTGACATTAAGTCCAGTCGTGTCCGACTCTGGGGGTCGGTGTTCATCTCCATTTCTAAGCTGAAGAGCTGGCGTTGTCCGTAGACACCTCCAAGGTCATATGGGCAGCATGACTTCATGGAGCGCTGTTACCTTCCCGCTGGAGCGGTACCTATTGATCTACTCACATTTGCATGTTTTCAAACTGCTAGGTTGGCAGAAGCTGGGGCTAACAGTGAGAGCTAACGCCGCTCCCAGGATTCAAACCTGCAACCTTTCAGTCAGCAAGTTCAGCAGCTCAGCACTTTAATCCGCTGCACCATGTGAGGCTGCTTTTTTCTCTAAAATCAGGATTGATTGTGGGTTGCAGTGGCTGAAGCGTATAACCCAGGCCTATAACCCAGGCCCCTTCTACAGTGACACTTGTGTACAAGGCAAACATTTTGTTTGTGTGCCAGTAACTTCATAAAATGTGTGGAGGGCACAGTTTCTCTGGCCTGCACATAGAATTGAACTTTTGTGGTGATCCGCATAACTACGAGGGTTAAATGAAAAGTAATGTCTCCACTTTCATAACTCCTCAACAGATGGCAGTACTGGTATGCGGCAGGTACTGGCTTGTTCAGTAGACTCTCCTCTACAGTTCCATTTTGGCGGGAAGCCTTAACATTGAACAGTCGTGTTGTTAAAGTGCAAAGTATGGAACCCTGCACAGACGGTCAGTCGACTTAAGCAACATGCAGTCATTGAATTATTGACAGCAGAAGGTGTCACCCCAAAGGAGATTCATCTGTGATTGCAAGCTGTTTATGGTGATTATGTTGATGTAAGTACTGTGCATCGTTGGGCAAGTAAGTTTAAAGATTTTGAGGTGGGAACATCTGACTTGCGTGACAAACAAAGAGTTGGACATCCTGTGACAGCAGGCATCGAGTTTCACAAGCGAAAGGTTTACAGATTGATTCAGGACGATTGTCGTATCATTCAGAGAGAAATTTCAAGCATAATCGGCATTTCACAAGAACATGTGGGTCACATTATTGCTTTGCTTGGCTATCGGAAGATCTGTGCACAATGGGTTGCGGAAACAGAGTGTCAACTTCTTTCGTGACAGCTTTAGAAAACTTGTTCATCGTTGGCAAAAATGTATCCAATTGTCTGGCGGTTATGTGGAAAAGTGAATAGTGGTAGTTAAAGAGGACATTCTAAGGATTCTTTTTGTGTTTGATTTATTAAAATATATTCCTTTCCAAACCCACGTAATGAAGGTGGAGGCATTACTTTTCAGTCAACCCTCGTAAATATCTGCAAATCTGCATCTCACTTTTTTTTTAATCTGGTTTCTAGCAGAAGTTCCACGGCAACCATCTTGGGAGCCTCTAAATCTCAGAACAAAGCATCAAGTCTGGACAACGGAGGCAGAAAGCTCAAGACCTCTCCTGAAGTCCCAGGATTTTTTGCCCCTCATCCTGAGAGATTTGAGTTACTTTCTTTTAGCCTAAAGTTCGTAAGATCTGTTACAATGGATTTGGTATGCTGATCCAAGAATGGGAAGGACAGAAATGAATATCAACAAAACTGCGTTTTGCTGTCAGGTATGCCCTTCTCAAATTTACCTTGATCCTCTAGAGCGCTCTGGACTTCACCGTGCCTCTGGAAAGAAGCGGAGAGAACATGTACTACAGCTTGGAACAGCAGGAGAAGACAGGAAGAACTCCACATGACAGTCCCTGAAATGGGAGCATAAGATTGGTTACAAGGAGAGTGGATGGAAGCAGGTATTCTGACAAGTATTCAAAGGATGCATCTATACTATAGAATTAATATTTCAGATTTTTCCTACAGATTAAATAAATCCACAAGTCAGGATATGGCTTTCTGTGCAAACAGGGAGGAATGGGTTTGTGACATGTTTTTCCCTAGCAAGTGCAAAAGTTAACTTGATTTCACCTGCCTTGTTCCCCAGATTAAAACAGAAAAATATTCAAGCAGAAAAAGAGATCCAGTACAATCTTTAAAGGCTGATATATTTATTTCAGCTCAGAAAGGGATGTAGTGGGTTGGGTGCAGGATTCAGATTTCTGGAGACCACCATCCAATCTTTTCTGGTCAACCATAAGCATAGAGATTTTGAATAGACACATCTATCATATAGATCAGGGTTTCTCAACCTTCCTAATGCCATGACCTCTTAATACAGTTCGTCATGTTGTGGTGACCCCCAACCACAACGTTATTTTCGTTGCTACTTCATAACTCTAATTTTGCTACTGTTATGAATCATAATGTAAAGCAAAGTTTATTGATTAGTCCATTGACCGCATCAACATTAAAAACAAAAACAGAAACGTGCACAATCCCAAGACCCCCACAACAGTGAACCAACACACATTCAAACCTGATTAGGTTAAAGGATAACTAAAAATATCATCATTAAAATACCAAGATAAAATTTCATACCACAAAAATTAAAAAAAAATTAAAAACGAAGTTTAAAATGAAGATTAAAATAGACCAGCTATTACACAATCCCAAGTCACTTCAGATATCTGCGTCACCCCTACAGTTTACCCCAATCGCCTCCAGATGCACAGTTCTCAGCTGCGTTGCTTTATGAAGGAAAAGGGCTGTTTGGTTTGTTATCTTAGCATTCTGGCCAGCCATTAAGAATTTAGTTTTGATATGGGGATCCCAGTGAGTCTTCTGTATGATGAATGGTCTGAGGTATTGATTTCTCTCTTTGTTGTACAAAATGCAATTAAACAGTACATGTGTAATATCCTCTACCTCTGTAGCCCCACAGATACAGAAACGTTCATTATATGGAACTTGGTTAAACCTTCCATGTTTAACCATTGTATCTGTCTGTTCGAATCGGATTCTAGTGAATACCCTCTTTAGATTAATCATAATGTAAATATCTGATATGCAGGATGTATTTTCAATCACTGGACCAAATTAGGCATTTAGGAGTTGTTTGTCATTTAGGAGTTGTAGTTGCTGGGATTTATAGTTCACCTATAATCAAAGAGCACTCTGAACTCCAACAGCGATGGAATTGAACCAAACTTGGCACACAGAACTCCCATGACCAACAGAAAATACTGGAAGGGTTTGGTGGGCATTGACCTTGAGTGTTTGGAGTTGTAGTTCACCTACATCCAGAGAGCACTGTGGTCTCAAACAATGATGGATCTAGACCCAACTTGGCATGAATACTCACTATGCCCAAATATGTACATTGGTGAAATCTAATGGGTCTGTGCAACAAAACATGAATCCTATTACGATCCTACAGGACATCCATTCTTAAAGATGAGTCCTGTTCTTAAGGCAAAAGGAAAAAGATAAGCTTTTCTTCAGCTGCATTCAGCACTCTGCCTTTTGGAATGGCAAAAAACTGGCTTTCCCTCTGTGATTTATCAAGTAAGTTAATCATTTGCAGTCCAATCCTATGTACGTTTACGGTACTCAGAAGCGTATTCTGCGAAACTGCCTAGTTTGGTTTTTTAAAATCCCAGCATAATTACAATTGGAAAGACATAGTCCATGAGCATTTGTCACACCATGGATGATATAAAATAATGATCTAAATGTGCATTCTTTACTGAAGTCTTTAAAAATATTTATTATTATCTGTTTATTTGCTCTATTTATATACCGCTTTTCTTACCCCTGGGGGGACTGAAGGAGGTTTCCAAACTAGTCACAACAAAATTTAATGCCAAAAATACATGTGAAAAACCAAAGCATAAAAACAACAACATATAACTATAAATTAAACTATAAAAATCATATTAAGTCATAAAGCATAAGCCACATTTGTACATTAAAACATGGAATTAAAACACATTAATATAAACATTAATATCTTGAAATATTTTGATAATATTTCAAGTTGTTCCTTGGAGAGCCTTTTGGATGGGCTGAAGCTGCACTTGGTTCCAAGAAAATATTTTTAGAGCCCTAGAAATAATTTTAAATGTTGATGATGGTCACTGGTAAAAAAAAGGTTGGGAACCATTGTTCTGGAGTAAATATTTTAATCAAAATCCATGAATAATCATATCTGCAAAAGTCAAAGCCACAAATGTGGAGTGATGACAGTAGTTTGTTGTGCTGATTAGGGCTGATTTTTTTTTTCATGTCAGGAGCGACTTGAGAAAATACAAGTTGCTTCTGGTGTGAGATAATTGGCCGTCTGCGAGGATGTTGCCCAGGGGACACCCGAATGTTTTGATGTTTTACCATCCTTGTGGGAGGCTTCTCTCGTGTCCCCGTATGAGGAGCAGGAGCTGACAGAGGGAGCTCATCCGTGCTCTCCACAGATTCCAACCCTCTGACCTGTCAGTCTTCAGTCCTGCCGGCACAAGGGTTTAACCCATTGCACCACTGGGGACTCCAATTAAGGTTGATGGGAGACACACCCTAACAACATCTGGAGAACCAAAAAATTGAGATAGTCCTTTTTAATATTCAGTATTTTGCACCAGTTACCATTATATTCTGACTACATTCCTGTAAGACAGGAGAGATTTATTTTCCTCATAGTGCCAAAGTTCCCAGAGCTATAAATTAAAAATAAACCGTCAGTATCTCTTGCTGGGACTGGAAGAGAAGTCCTTTAGGTAACAAGGTGGAGCGCAAGATAGGTTTTGCTGTGTGTTCCAAAGAGGCACACCCTACTGAGATGGGGAGCGTTCCTGGAGCAAAACGTTTCGGTTCTAAACATCATTTATTCTAATAGAGAATAGCACATTATGCTCTAATCACTTACGGCAGTGTTTCTCAAACTTCCTAATGCCACGACCCCTTAATATAGTTTCTCATGTTGTGATGACCCACAACCAAAACATTATTTTTGTTATGATTTCATAACTGTAGCTATGCTACTGTTATGAA